TCTCAAAAAAAAAAAAAAGAAAGGATTAGGCGGGCACAGTGGTTCACGCCTATAATCCCAGCACATTTGGAGGTCAAGGCAGGAGGACTGCTTGAGTCTAGAAGTTTGAGACTAGTCTGGGCAACAAAGCAAGACCTCGTCCCTACCAAAAAAAATAAAAATTAGCCAGGCGCAGGGCCATGCACCTGTAGACCCAGCTACTTAGAAAGAAGCTAAGGCAGGATCACTTGAGCCCCTGAGTTCAAGCTTTGCAGTGAGCTATGATTGCACCACTGCACTCCAGCCCATGGATGAAGTGAGACCACATCTGTGTTTTTTGTTTTGTTTTGTTTTGCTTTGTTTTGTGACAGGGTCTCATTCTGTGTCCCAGGCTGGAGTACAGTGGCAAGATCTCGGCTCTCTGCAACCTCCCCCTCCCAGGTTCAAGTGATTCTTGTGCCTCAGCCACCTGAGTAGCTGGGATTACAGATGTATGCCCCCACACCCGGCTAATTTTTGTACTTTTAGTAGAGATGGGGTTTTACCACGTTGCCCAGGCTGGTCTTAAACTCCTGACTTCAAGCAATCCACCCATTTCGGCCTCCCAAAGTACTGGGATTACAAGTATGAGCCACCACGCCCAACCAACATCTCTTAAAAAAAAAAAAAAGAAAGGAGTTCAATGTAGCAGGCAGAATATCTAGTTAAGATGAACTGTGTAGAAGAGTGGAAGAAACTCTCCAAAGCAACGGAGGATGCCTTCTGATCTCCTGTCTGGTTACTGACACCTCCACCATAACGTCTACCTGCTTTGGTGAGGATGTTCTCATCAGCCGACGAGTAGTCAGTCTCTGAGGCTTCATCTTCTGAGCCCTCCTTATCGTTCCGTTGAAGGTCTTCCTGCTCTTTTGGTTCAGAGCCCTCCTTTGCTTCTTTCTCCTTCTCTAACTTCCCAGACTTGGCTTCTTTATCCTGGGGAAAAAAATTAAAGCAAGGGTGATGACAAACTTCTACAAATCCAGAACCTAAACAGAGCAATAGGAAGCTCTCCAGCTTGAATGGACGGTGTGGGGATTCTCAGTACAGACTCACAGCAAACACACAGAAGAGTGTGCCTGGCCCAGCCACCCCCAGCTCTGTAAGGGCTTCCAGAGAGATGCTGGGGTCGCACTTTTCTTCTCACCTCCGTTTTCCTTTTCTTTCGAATTTTCTCAATCTTCTCATCTAATGTAGTGGCTGCTCTCTGCAGATAAAAATAAAGAGGTGAAAAAAATTTTCATTAAAACATCGAATAAGAGAACAAATACTTCATAATTAATTTGAAAAAGAAAAATTTGTCATTCTCTGAAAATATATATATATAAATTTTAAAATCTCCTCCAGATGATTTTGAAAAGGAATACTGGTTTATTTCAATCAGAATAAGGACCAGCAGAGCCTAGATTAAACTATTCTGGACAGGCAGTATTTCTCTTTGAAGCATATGAAATAGAAAATAACTTGGATGCATCGCCTAGTTTAACCAGATTCACGGAAAGCCATGAACTCTTGGCAAACAAGCAGATGACAACGACATTTGTGGCAGCTCTGGCTGTGCTGTGTGGGAACCAGGGACACTGCACAGTGACACCACAGGACACCACCTGGTAAGTGCTTACACTCTGTTTGGTATCAATCAAGATGACGAGTCTTCCCTAGCAAGCAGGCTCCGACAAAAAATAATGACAGTGAGTCATTTGTGGTCCGTGTGCCCATCTCATCAAAACTATACCAGATATTTTATTTTTTCTGAGACGGAGTCTTGTTCTGTTGCCCAGGCTGGAGTACAGTGGCGCAATCTCAGCTCACTGCAACATCCACCTCCCAGGTTTAAGTGTTTCTCCTGCCTCAGCCTCCTGAGTAGCAGGGATTACAGGTGCACACCACCATGCCTGGCTAATTTTTTGTATTTTTAGTAGCAACGGGTTTTACCATGTTGATCAGGCTAGTCTCAAACTCCTGACCTCATGATCTGCCCGCCTCAGCCTTCCAAAGTGCTGGGATTACAGCCACGAACCACCACACCTGGCCAGATACCAGATATTTTCAAAGGAGTTCTTATATCTACCGAATGTAAACAGATGATCAGTCAGGTCAGGGTTAGGCCCTGAAACCCACTGTCCAATCTTACTAGTGCAAGGTTAGGAACTGTTCATCACTGCCAGTCTCACCTTCTTCTTGAGTTGGCTCATGACATCAGCCAGGGCCCAGCTGCCATCATACGTCCCCTCCTTCTCGGTGAAAACGAAGTCAGGGTTGAAATCAGCACTGCGGTTCTTCCCCAAGGCTTTCTGTCGTTTGCCCAGCACAATGGGCCCCTGGGAAAAGTAAGGGACAGAGTGACTTTGGAGCAGAGGTGAAGAACAACAGAAAGGAAGAAGGGCCAGGCTTGGTGGCTCACATCTGTAATCCCAGCACTTTAGGAGGCTGACACAGGCGGATCATTTGAGGTCAGGAGTTCAAGACCAGCCTAACCAACACGGTGAAACCCAGTCTCTACAACAAATATAAAAGAATTAGCTGGGTGAGATAGCACACACCTGTAATCCCAGCTAACTCAGGTGGCTGACGCAGGAGAATTGCTTGAATCCAGGGGGCAGAGGTTGTGGTAAGCTGAGTTTGCATCACTGCATTACAGCCTGGGCGACAGAGCAAGACAACGTCTCAAGAAAAAAAAAAAAAATAGGAAGAAGGAAATGAGAGTCACACCTCTCTCAGCAACTGATAAATCAAGCAGACCAAAAATAAGTAAATCTATAGAAAATTTGAACAGCACAATTAAGAAGCTTCATCCCAGATGGGTGCGGTAGCTAATATCTGTAATCCCAGCACTTTGGGAGGCCAAGGTGGGTGGATCACGAGGTCAGGAGTTCAAGACTAGCCTGGCCAAGATGGTGAAACCCTATCTCTACTAAAAATACAAAAAAAATTAGCAAGGCATGGTGGCACGTGCCTGTAGTCCCAGCTACTCGGGAGGCTGATGCAGAGAATTGCTTGAACCTGGGAGGTGGAGGTTGCAGTGAGCCAAAATCACACCACTGCACTCCAGCCAGGGCAACAGATCAAGACTCCATCTCAAAATAAATAAATAAAGCTTCATCCTAATGAACATATACAGAACACTGCATTTCTCACTACAGAATGCATACAGAATCAAAAAAAAAAAAGTCAAATTCATGGAAACGGACAGTAGAATGGTGGTTGCCAAGGTCCCAGGGTATACACTCTTCAGTTCTGCAATGTACAAGTTCTGGGGATCCAACGTACAGCATGGTGACTAGAGTTAATAACGATGTATTGGGCCAGGTGTGGTGGCTCATGCCCGTAATCCCAGCACTTTGGGAGGCTGAGGCGGGTGGATCACCTGAGAGGTCAAGAGTTCGAGACCGGCCTGGCCAACATGGTGAAACCCCGTCTCTACTAAAAATACAAAAAAATTAGCGAGGAGTGGTGGCGCATGCCTGTAGTCCCAGGTACTAGGGAGGCTAAGGCAGGAGGATCCCTTGAACCCAGGAGGTGGAAGCTGCAGTGAGCCAAGATCGTGCCACCGCACTCCACCCTGGGTGACAGGACAAGACTCTATCTCAAAAACAAAAAAATGAAGTAAATGAGACTGAAGTGTTGGTCACGAAGAGGAGAGCCACAAGAAATGAAAGTCAAGGTGGAAAGGACAAGATTGAGAAGGACCTTGAAAGCCGTGGGAAAGCAGGCTGCAGAGTTTTAAGCAAGGAAGGTCTCTAATGTGACCGTATCACCAAAGAGATCCCTCTGCTGCTAAGCAAAAACTACACTGGAAGGGGACAAGAGAAAGAGATGAAGATGAGGTATGTTTGGACTGCAAGTGTGCACCTGTGTAGGCATGAGATGGCAGTGGCCGGAGCTAGGGTGGGTACAGTGCGAATCGAGAGAGGAGGGAGAAGCTTAAGAGTGATTCATGAGCTAGCCTGCAGAGCACTGGAGGCGGTGAGGAAGAAAAAACTGTCAAGAACAACTCTCAGGTTTCTGGCTTGAGAAGGGAACAAGATAACAGTGAACTGAACACAAGTTCAGCCTCAGAGGAGTTGAATTTGTAGAGGCCGTGGGACATCCAAATAAACGTATCAAGTGGACGGATGAGAGTGCAGAGGGGACAACATCTGGGCTGAATGTTTGAAGGGCAAGCACCTTTTTCAGAACACTGATCCCTCTTTAATTGTCATATTACCTAATGTCTGCAAGTCCCTACACCACCATGCGCTGCAGGAGACTGTCACTCATCTTGTTCACTGCTACGTCCCCAACGCATAACACTGGGTCTAGCACGAGTTAAGTATTCAATAAACACTGGCTCGATGAACATATGACAGACAACCCTGGCTCCCTGAGCAGGAACCAGGGCTGACTTCACCACTCTACGGCTCTTACGCAGGACGTGGTTAAATGTCTCTTCAGTGCATGGATACTGAGTTCAACATGGAGACAGGGAACAACACAGCCAAAGACGCAGGCGGACGTGGAGAAGAGCTAGTGTTGGGAAAACTGAGGAAGATCTTGGGGTCCCGGTGAAATCCTTTTCGGGAAACTTCCCGGGCTGGCAGAGGATGATGAAGATTCGGGGACAGGAACCTGAGAAATCCCGGGGAAGGGAAGCAGTCAAAGAAACCCAAAGGACCAGAACCGTGCCCATACCTCCTCCTCCTCGTCACCGGAGTCAGACTCGGGCTCCACTGGCACCTCGTCATCCTCGCCTATGGTGCCGATTAAGCCGAGCTCCGCAAGCATGTTGTAGCAGAAGCAACTTCCGGAAGCGAGCACAGCATGCAGTCCGGCCCTTAACTTTTCGGAACCTCTTCGTCGTCACTGCGCATGTGCCGTGCGTCACTTCCGCTCGAGAGCCCCTGCGGCTCTCCCCGTTGCGACCTCTTAAGAGTGCGCAGGCGACAATCTGGAGCGTGGTTTCGTGTGACGACATCAAGGGGCAGGGCTTTATTTTAGGTAAGCAAATTCCATTGTCTCCGGCCTCAAAAAGGTGGGACTATTTGAGGAGGATGCGAGGGGTGAGAAAGTCTAAAGAGTTGCATTTATAAACTCTAGATATGGATATTTATATAGAAAAGACTGTGGAATAAAATACATTAAGCAGTTAGCTGTGATTGTTTCTGGGGGGTAAAATTCTAAATAATCTTTCTTTTCTTTGTTTCTTATTTCTGGGGGTAAAATTCTAAGTAATCTTTCTCTTATCTTTTTTTTTTTTT